AAGAAATGTGTAGAGGTAATGACAATATTAAGGCTTTTCTATTGCAAGGAATGCTGGACAGTTGTGATATTTGCCACACTGGGACAACTGGGTCTTATGAGTCACCAGACACAATTTGGAACTCAAACTCAGTAGTGCCAGCACCAATCCAAAATTTCATGTATGTTTATGTTAGTAACTTTTTAACCATATGGTCTAAAAACATTTTTTCCTTCTTATTCCATGGCTCATCCCAATTAAATGGTCCTAATACGTCATTTTCCAATAAGATAAAGTAACCAGAATTTTTTATTAATTGCTAATTTCTTCTAGACCATTCATCTGATTTCCATCAAATTTGACCCAGATCTTCTGACCATGCTTACCAAAAGTTTTAAAAAAATGTATTTGACAATCATAACACAATGCTTTGTCTTGTTATGAGAACTATTCTATTCTAGATCTGAACTTGACGGCACAATTTCACCAGAGTGCTCTTTAATGGTCTAGGGTCTTAGAAGCCCATTTGTTCTTCCTAAAAATCTAAAAATGATCTCCTTACATTTGGACCTAGCTGAACCATGTTCAATTTTGCTTCCCTGAGACATTTAGAATTGCCAGAAAAAAATAACGTCTTTTGAATGTACAATAACATTTTTTACAAAAAAATGTCTCTGTTCCCTGGGGTTACTCACAAAGATTCACTGCAGCACAACCTTGTGGTCAGAAGAGGTCTTACTGTTAAAAAATTGGTAATGACTGCTATTAGTTAACCACACCACGATTTGAAAACCACAATTCCACCAATCGGTCAACATTTATTAATACTTTTTTTTGCAAAATTTCGCACTTTGTCAAATTTTAATATAATATTTTTCAGATGGCTGCTTGTTGCCAGATCAATGCTTGCAGTTATGTTGATAATTGTTTTAGTTGATAGTCATAACTTTTGAAATCAGGTTCTTTCTTTACTTATCAATAAAGAGCTACATATTACAAAATGCTACCAAACGTTCATATCTCAGGGTTCACTATTGGTTCTCACAAATCTCAAATGAAACCATCAATAGAGAGCTACACATTCGATTTGTGGTGCAACTCACACCTGCAAAAAGCGACAGTGTCTTGATTTTGCCATAAGCAGTAGAGCAGTAGACTGGTTTTATTTCTTTCATCGACGTACCTTGATTTTGTAAGGACTGAATTGTTATCCAATGTTTTTCTGTCAATGGTTTCTGTTGCTGTCGTTTGAGCTTGTTTTTTCAACACACGTCTTTCAAGATCACCTCTGGACACCTGAAATCATTTGATATGAGGCATTTCAAGATATTATCCATTATTTAGATATGAAATGATAAAAAACAAAAACCCCAAATTCCCACCGGTTCTCTGTTGGTGGTCCTGCGTATGCTAGTGTTTGCAGGCCTAGTAGATACTTTTCCACTGTTCACTTGGGGTCTTAGCTTGGTGCTGGAGTTTATGGTGTGACATGAGGCTGAACGACGACAAATATGAACAACTAAACACATAGCGTTTTATTTTTGTGTACACAGGAAGAGCATGGAAGCAATGAGCATGAAGAGAAGGAAACAGAAGCAGCTGCACATTTGTGAGTTGGTCTTTAAAGATTAAAGTCTGGGATTTTGTGGACTGAGGTTATACCTGTGTCTCGTGACAGACACACAGCGCTTCTGGTTCTTGCTAAGTAAGATACAGTTGGAGTCTGTAGACGCTGGACAAGGTCTATCTCCCGTTTACTAAGAAAGCAGCGTGTAGCTAAAGGGTAGCAGAAATCAGAGTGGCCAGCAGGAAGACTGTTTAGGAAAACAGATGCAAGGCTAAAAAATAGTGTTTACATTTGGAATCACCACTTTTGCTTTACCAGTTTTGTTATTCATGATGACTTTTCGAGAGCGTTGCCGTGGGTTCAGTTTGACCTTTTGGCTTTTCTCCATAGTCTTTCGCATTACAGACTCATACCGTTCCTGAAACACAGTGTCAACATTTGCCAGTCAAACACCGCAAAAACAAGAATCTTAGCAATGCTGAAAAAGTTTTTCTTATTTTAATTCTTATATATTAATTTCTTATATAGTTTAGACTTTTAGGCTATGGAATATTTATAGAATAAATGTTTATTTTGATAAATGATTTGCTTGAATTAAGAAACTTTGTAAAACAAGCTATTGATATTGCCACTAAACTTAAAATCTAGATTCTTGAAACAAGATATTTTAACTCAAAAGTTTCTTACATCAATAGATCAATATTGGGTTCTGATAAAATAACACCCGTCTCAGAATAAGAAATAAATTATTAAATATTTTGAGAATCTTCTTTGATCAAGCAAAATCTGAAAATGGGGTAAGAATATTTGACTTGGTAAGAATACTTTAAACAAGAATAAAATACTTGTGAAAAGAATCTTAAAACAAGGACATTATTTCTAGATTTAGGTTCCTATGGATGTCACTGATTAAGCAAATAGTTCTTATTTCAAATCAGTTTTTCATTACATTTGTTGATTAACTACATTTAAATATACAAATCTGTCAAATATTAAGCAGGAATTTGTAGTTTCAATGTTATTTTAAAGACTACTTTTAAGCACAAATGTCCTTGTTTTAATACTAATTTTCCTGAAAATATTTGTTTATAAAAAAAAGAAACTTAGTTTAATTTAAGCGGTTACATTTCATTTTACTGCATATTTATCACAAATATTCTTAAAATAGTTCTGTTTTTCTCATAATTAACCTAATCTAAACTATATAACTATATAAACTAACTATTTGTATACAAATACATAGGCTACATCCTTCTCATAAGAAGAAAGTTTGTTCTTTCCGGTTGGTAAAGGCTCAACCTAACTTTTTCAAAATTGGTATAGAGCCTGTGAAATACAGATCACTGTATGTAGTTTTTAAACTTTCAGTCTAATTTCAGTTTCATTTTTTCATTTAATCAGTCTCATGTTTAAAATGTTAAAATTTGGAAAACACAGAACTTAGAAAAATAGAAATTGTTCTAAAAATATAAAACAAATTGTTCATTAAAAAGAATAACATAGAAGCATCATGGTATGTCTCAAGAAACTAGAAGGATTTTGTGGTCTCTGGATTTGTGTAACATAAAGCATGAATCAAGAATCTGACTCTCATATTGAAAATGTCTTTTTTTAGTTTCATTTTTGTTTACAGCTAAAAAAAAACATTCACTAGCTGTGTTTCCGTCCTATTTTTATGCACATTTTGGAAGATCGCATAAAAAATTGATGTAAACGCCAAGGTCTGGATGTTGTGTAATGAATCAGTCAGGTGGTTAGTCCATTCAGTAAATGCATTTCTATTTTAATTTACAATAGAAGTAGAAACGCATTTACTGAATGGACTAACCAAATCTTATGCCTCCAAAAGCAAGATGGCATGACTGCGCACATGGCATTTGTCTACGTGTTCTAAGATGCAAATTATTGATTGTATATGATAAAAGGCCTTCTTCTAAAACAGCAACTTCCATTTTTCTTTTGATATTTGGTACCAGTTTATCAGGAAGTGATGATTTGGATTTCTTGGATGGAAACGGTGCTTTATTGGCAAATATTTTATGCGATATTCCAGTTTTGCACATAAATGGAATTTGCATCTTTGGATGAAAACTTGGCTACAGATCTCATTATTGATTTAGTTTTCATTCTAGTTTTAAAAGACTAAGTACACTTCTTTTGGGAGGTATTCCATATTTGTGGTGATTATCTAAAAAACAGTTCTGTTCAAACACCTGGGAGATTAACTCACTCTTTCTTCTCTGATCCTCTGTTTGCGTTTCTCTTCGACTGCCATCCTCCTCTGCTCTTCTTTTTGCCTTTGCTCCTCCAATTTCTTCCGTCGTTCCTCCAGATGTTTCTTATAGAACTGCTTGGCACGTTCCTCTCTCGCCAGCCAGCCAAGCTCGCGCAATGCTGTAGTTCACATACAACCAAATAAAACGTTCCGCCATTCTGATTTTGTATTTTAACAGTGCAGTCAAAGAAAGTACCCAGCTGTTTTTGATGAGCTTCTCTTCGCTCCCGAGCCAGTTGCAGTCTTTCATCCACTTTGAGCATGTTTGTCTCTAAACAATTTAAATCAGAAATCCACGTTTTTCATGCCTCACATGAATTGATAGCTGCTCGTTGAGATTTATCAAAGTCAAGTCATTGTTTACAGCTTTTAAAAGTGATGGGAGACATGTTCTAAAAGAGGATTTTGAGAGAGAAAATGTAAAAAGAACTGTTCCGGACCTGCATTGTTGGCCTTTCGATCGCTAATGTTGCTTAGTGCAGGTTTTATATGTAGTGGTGTGCCGTCTTTTCTGTTGAGCCTCAGGGTTGTAGGTTTCACTTCAGATCTGCAATCTGGGCGGAAATGGTTGCCTGTTATTCAATTGGATATCAAAAAGACACTTCCCAGAACTTTCAAAGCATTGAAGTGAGCTGGGATGAATATGATTGATTAATTCTGTTACACAAAAAGAGCTAATGTTTCTAGAGACCAATATCCCTTTGCATGGGTGTAAAGGGCAGCATTAGCATAACATAATGAAGCCAGAATTTGTTTTGATCAAAACAGTGAAGTTGAAGAGTGTACGTTGAGCATTTTCTTCAGCCCAGTTTGAAAAGCAGGCTAGCTGGTTAGAAGGTAAAGGTGATGATTTACAGCATTGACAGGAATGAGGAATGCTCTGAAAAGAGGAACCCTTCATGACTGATCCCTTTCTCTGTTAAATTCTTGAAATGTGCACACAGGGCTGTCCTTTCATGACAGAGAGGGATCTCCATTAACAGTTTCATTGTTATTTTGTGATTTGCATTGTTAGCTTGTGATTAGCATCATAACCATTGTCTCAAAAGCATCACCAAGAGAGTTCTGAGCAACAATATTTTATATTTGCAACACTTTAATTGTGTTGTTTATACTCCATTAAAAATGCTTTTAACCTTTTCATTGATTGCAATTTTCAGTTTGAAAGTTTGGTTCGACATTCCTGTGGCTCAGTCGGGAGCATTGCGTTAGCAACACAAAGGTCATGGGTTCAACCCTCGCAGGGAAAGCAAGAACTGACGAAACGTGTTCATTCCTTCATAGTCGCGTTGCATCAATGTAAAGTTGTACAAAATGATTTGTCGGGAAAAACAATTGGGTATGTATCTATCTGCCTGTCTGTCTGTCAATATATTTATTTAATTTTAAAATATTTTCTTCTATTTTTTATTCATTGTTTCTTTTCTTTTCACTCTTCCTGAAATGATGATTGCAATTGCCTGGAGTTTGTTTCATGAGAATTTGTATATGGGAATAAAAAAAAAATTTGTATTAAATACTTATTATTAATTAGCAACCGATAACGTGTTTTGTTTAACATTTTTCCATACACAAACTGTTGCATAAAAAAAAAAAACACACAAAAAATTTTATCATCAACATACCTTTCCTTCTAAAGAAAAGAATTAACTTTTTGGAAGAAGTGTTGCTGTTTTTTCTTCAGTTTTATATATGAAGAATAATTGCTTCGATTAAAAGTACAATTTTGAAGGTTTCATGAGTTTAAATAAATATCCGCCCTTCTAAAGATGCAGCTAATTATTCTGAAAGAATAAATGGATGTCAGCACTTGAGTGATAGTCAGGGGAGGTGTCGTCTTTTTTCTTAGTTTCCACTAGGAGTCAGACTTGATTTTTTTTTTATTAAATATTTACAAAACGTTACTATTATTATTTAATAATAATACTAATTACTATTAATAACTACTGTTACTAATAGTAATAGTACTAGAAATAAAAAATAGAACTAAAACTAGTGGCTTCACACTACAATATGGCGGACACAATGATGTCACAACTCTGAATGTATTCTATTTTTCGTGTTGGAATGTCCGTAATCTCTTAGAATCAACACCGCCCCCTAGCTTGAGGAAAGAACGCTTTTTCCCTCTCTTGGGAGAATTATTCTGCAGGTGTTTAATGTTTGCTTTGCATATGTTGCCCATACAGCTGTTTATAAAAAAAAACATAGTATATCAATATAAATCAGTTAAACTATGTGAATTTAGTTCACAAATTTCAAGTGGTTGAACATTTTAATACCAACACAGAGAGACAACAAAACAACAAAACCGTAATATTCCATATAATGCACAGGCAACCGAAGAGATGCCAGCCTGTGCATTTTGTGGAATATTATTGTTTTGCCGTCTCTCTATGTGGGTATTAAAATCTTTTCTTTACTCGTCTTTTCTTAGTATCTGAACACCAAATAATGTAAAAGTCATCGATTAATATATATATATATATATATATATATATATATATATATATATATATATATATATATATATATATACATATATATATATATATATATATATATATATATATATATATATCTTTAACATATTACTGACTAAGAGCAATAATTTTTTTTTTCTTCAAATAATGCCAGGTGAGGCCAGTGTACTTATAGCAGTGTACTTGTAGTTTTGTATGTCGATTCTTGAGTAGATATCCCTCTCTTAAACATTTCTTAGCGTATAATTTTTCCGATGTGTTGAGTTAAAATGTAGCTCTATAAGGAGATTTGCTATGTGGCATTAAGTGAACTGTAAGAAAACTATCCATTTTAGCATCTTATCCATTTGAGTAGGCCTGTGTTGACTTATATGCAAAATCAACGCTCTATAAACAAAGCTTAAGAGCCAAAAGGCAGATATAAAGATGAACATGGGGCCTGCCTCATGCCGGTTAGACTTAGTCCTATGAAACAAGAAAGCCCTAGGCCTGAATAACATCACAAAAGCAACTTTTGTATCTCTGTTGCTGTGGAAAGCAACAACTTAGCGCCTGACCAACATATACGTGTTGGGGAACTGTTCTTAAGGTACGCTCAACACTCCAGAGGTGTAGGGTTGAAACGTTTAGTATGATGGACAACACATATCTCATCTGCTGAATTTGCATTTAAGACTATTTGAAACATCTGCTCTAAGAAAATGAAAGCTGAATTCTTTTGAGTGCGTTACGTAAGTGACATCATGAAAGACTAATAAATATCTTTAGCTCAACAGCTTCATCACACGAAACCAATGAGCTGAAGTTTGCAAAACGCATTGCTAATTTGGTACATAATCTCTGAATTCTATCTTTGTTTGGAGGCATGTGTTGTCTAGTTTAGACCTTGAACTATCATTTTGAACAGAGCATAGAGATGAGTGTCATATCTTTGATAAGGTCCTCCTCACTAACCTTTGATGGTAATGTCGCACATCTTGAGCTGCTCTTTCTCAGAGATGGTGTTGAGCCCCATCCTGTCCATCTTCCATCCCCGTTCCTGCTCTGCCAGGGATGCATGAGCTGGCATTTTTCTGTGACTGTGATGTGTGTCGATCTGATGCGTTTAGAGCAGCTGTGTTCCAGTCTGGCTAACAGCGTAGCATCTCTAACCGGGAGTACGATGGTTGAGGGAGAGGTGAGACTGTGTGAGAGAGGGAGACATTCTTCCTGAGGGAGACTGCGAGCAGCTGATTTGCTTAAGTCCAGGCTGCGTCTAGAACACGTGAAAAAAAAAAAACGCAAACAGTGTGAGCATCTGTGGGTGGGGGGTGGGGGGTGTGCTTGCTCTCTGCTAACAAAGAAGCCCATCCAGTGTGTTTCACTTTAAAATATCCATGTTGTCTTTTTTCCAAGCTCATTTTTTACTTGTAAGATGCGTATGATATACTTGCGATGCTCCCCCTAAAGGAAAACGATGGAGGATTTTACCCAATGTTAGGAAAACGTTTTTATGAGGGACTGTGACTCAGATATATTTTTTATTGACTAATTTTGTAAATTTTTAAAGTCAAATGCATTTTTTTTATTAAATAATATGTACTCTCATCTGTGCAAGGATATTATTTCCCTGATGAAGTGTCCTCTAGGAAGTTCCTCTATTCAGAAATTAGAGAAATTACTCATACTACTCACGCTACCCACCTAAAAGTCAGATTCAGAATACAGATTTGGGTCAACAACTAAACACGCTCATTGCCCTTCAGCAGTAAGAGAGGTATTTTGTGAAAGAGCATTTAGAAGAATGTGTACTGGGCGCACGTCAAATCATCTTTTATTTCTGTGTTATTTATTATCTTAGTGTAGGATGAAGGATCTTTTATTTTGAAAAATAGTGCCTGCATTCGAGAGCCAGTTCTGGAAAAAAGTGGGAGCTGTCAGCAGGAAGTAGCTGCTACTGTCAGCATCATTGACTGTAGGTTATCAGCATACACCACCTGATAATGAAATCATAAATGAAATGATTGAAATTTGGGCGTCGCAGCGAACAATTCTAAAATCCTATATATATCTTACTGCTACAACGATCAACTGGTCTAATTCCACGCTCCTCTTGTCATCACATGTTTAATGTGATTGATTTTATTGAGAGGGGTCTGAGGCATGGATTGCGCCATGCGCGCCCAGACCGTCGGCAACCCCTAAACCATTCTTCATTACTGTTGATGGCTGACATCTGACATTAGCTGTCTTCTGGCAGACTGCATCCACTTTTTTCCTGAACTCCTTCTGCCATATTCTCTACAATTGATATCCAAAATGTAACCCACAATTTAAAGTGGCCATATTATACAATTTTTAGAGCAGCCATAATACAAATTTTGGCCCGCTATTCTAGCACTGCACCATTTGTAGCTAAATGCAATATTAATCGTGAAAACCGTCTTTGAACCTTAGATTTTTTTGCCTCTGCAAAACACACCGTTTACGCGTACCTCCTACAATCGTGCTTTTGCTATGCCCCATCATGTTGCAAGTTAATGAATCTAGCAGAAATGTGTAGAAATATCAACACGCTTCACGCAGTTCAGTGCCTGTGTATGCTAACGAGCTCTTTATGTTTATTCTAATTGTGTTTCGTTGATATAATTAATGAATTGAGGTGTTTTTTGCAATGCTGGGTTGGTTAGTATAACCGCTAATATTGCTGCACCACCATTTTTTAGGCAGCAATGCCCAAATCTAAGTTGGCGATTGGGACGATGTCATCGTCCATCGTGATGTTTCACCAAAGACATTGTTGATGCCCAAACGGCTTGACATTGCCGAACCCTACAAGAAACTAAAGAGCCATGATGGTAAAGAGAAAAAACAAGGGTGAAAAAAAATGTATAAGGGTTGGCAAAAAAATATTTAGCATTTTTTGCATTCCATGGCAAAGATTGCATTCCCTCGCCAAACATCATTTAACCCCCGGCTGATGTGTAAAGACTTTTTATTTTAATTTTGCGTATGTGTCGCACACATATAAAATTGAGTTCTAACAAATTATTTAGGTATAAGTATAACAAATGCATGATGCTTACAGCAGTAAATATTTGAATAATTCACGATTTTACAAACTTTAGATTATTATATTCTTATTATTTGCGCTAAACTTAATATTCAGTGGAACCATCAGTTTTATTGTAATAAGGGGTGAAATGTTGTATGTATAATATAACAAAAGTGTTTTACGAGGGTATGCTAAAAAAATACCGAACATTTGTTTTGCCCATCCTGATTTTTTTTCCCCGTAACAACGTTTAGGAGTTCCATAAGAAACAGATGTCATTGGAAAGAAAAAGAAAGCTTTAGACAGACAATATAAAGAGTCATACTTGACATTTGGATTTATTGCGGCAGGTGATTTTACACCAGGCTCTGCTGCGACCGGCTCTTTGAGATTTCCTGAGGCACGACCCGTGAAAAGAAATGCCTATGTTAAACCATTCTGCGGTGTTAAAAAGGTTAAGGACCACTTCTGTAACTACACTCTAAAATAAGATGTTATATCTGTAATGCAGTCCACAAACATTACATATCCTTTTAAGAAAATCTATTTTACAATGCACCTAGCTCTATATGTATAGAGACACTCATGTTGAACCGATGGGTTGGGTGAACTCATAAATCAATCACTGATACGTTTTGAACGAAAAGCTTTTTTTCTAGTTAGTGAAACTACTCAACCATGTAGAGCAGGCAGATACCACAGAAGAATGCCACATTTATTCACCGCTTAAGCC